ACGCCCTCAAGACCTACCAACTACTATGACACACACACTTCGTCAGCCGATTACAACAGCAATCGTTACTCGGCGGCCAACAGTTCTGCCAATCGTAAAAGACGTCCCTACTATGGTTCTTCTTCCTCGAGTAATCAGTATGATTACCCAAATAAAAATTATATTAGCAATAACCGTTATGGCAGCCGCTACCAGACGACACGCTATACAACAACAACGCGTTTACCACGTGGCAGCGATAATGACCACAATATTTATGTAACAAATGCTCAGGGTGTCACTACGCATTACATAACGCCAGATGGTCGCAAGGTGTATATATAAATACTAAATAGAATTAATTAGGAATTTTAAGCTTTGCTTGTAAGCTTAACCAATAAGAGGCATAATTAACTATAAATATTATATTTTAAGCAATTCGAAATTTTCCTTGTTATGTAAGTAACGAAATTTTAAACTAATATAATCTATGAATTATTTCCCAAGTATTCAGGTGGGGCTGCTCTTTCAACTATGGGCTTTACTTATAATAGTTTTGTTAAACAAGTATCGATATAATAACGCTACACTATTTATTTAACACAATAAAAATGTAAAAAATATAAAAACAAATATTTTTTTAAACTATTTCAATTAGGATTATACGTATAATATTTTTATTTATTTTTATTAATTATTATTTTTCCCATAAAATTGTAGGTTTATTTAGTTTAAAGTTAAGAATTGAAGCCATTTTGTTCGTAAAACCCCTGTATTGACAAATACTAGAATAGTTAAATTTCACAAGCTTTTCTGGAGTCACACTTTTCACCAGCAAAATACAGAATCGAGTAGCAATCACTTGTTGTCTGATCAATATTGTAATACAGATGTACAGGAACCTGCCAACCAAACTACCGGAACTTCTGGCTTCGATAAATGAGGGTAGACGCTGTTCTGTTGGAGCACAATACGTCTCCTATTGAGCAAAGCTGGCAGCTTCTGACGGTTTACTTGTTTCAGACGATGAAATTGTTAATAGTAATTACCCGAATTAAAAGTTCGGACCACAAGTACTCAGCTCATAGATGATTCCTTTTCAATCGCACTAAATACGTACCAAAATCGACCTAATTTTCCCTTGAAATCTATCAGTTTCCGTTGAGTCCCCATGATTTATTTTCCAATCATATTCGCTTGAAATAGCCGTAGCCAGTCGCTTTTGAAATGGATCGATTTTATTGCGAGTTAGCTGGCACTCACAGAAGGAACTTTGATCCATAAGACTTTTTGCCTTTAAGCACCCACACAACGAGCTCCATTTATAACAGTTTTTTAAGTAGAATGGCACTCCAACAAACGGTTTATCAGAGTTTATGAAATCTTTGTCAGCAAAATGACTGAAACGGAATTTAATCAACCGAAATAGCGAGTAATTGGCTGTTATGGTATAATGCCATAAACACTATTCACTTGCGTTTTCGCCTTTACCGCAGAAAACCCAAAAAAAATGGTCTACTTACTCTTTACGCTGATGTCACAAGCAATCGCAATTTATAATACATGTTCATAATAACATTTTTTTTTGTTCAAACTCAGTGTCGAAAAGATCAAGAATTATACCAAAAAATGCACACAAACTAAAGATACACCTGCAATTTTTCATAGACGCCTAAAAATATGTAGTATCGATGGCTCCTTTACTTTCACGGGAATTCTACTGATCGCAGTAGTATACCTTTAGGCGGTTATTGTACGATCACAGTTGTGTCGCAAAACTTGAGCAGAAAATTAAACTATAGCTCTATTGAGATAAAATTTTTATACATATAATCTTTTTATGCTTTTCCTTTAAAATCTATCAGTTTTTTAGACCTTGGCATTAGACACTTCATATGTACCATATTATTTGCAACATGAACAATGACGGAAAATACAAAAACAAAAAATTAATACAGTTACAGTGCGTTTGGTAGAGTTTTTTATTTCTTTATTACTCAATAAATCACTTGTTTTTATTAAAAAATAATAATTTTGTTGACGTTTTTAGTTTAAACGCTAAACATTCTCTTCGACTCTGTAAATTAATTAATATTTCATTAATACGTTATGTAAATAAACCAATGCCTATGGGTGCTTGTTGCTGGGATCTTATCCAAAATTAGACTTAAGAGGCCGTGTCCTCATCGCCATGATTTTTACCCTGTCATTACTTTTTTACTAATTTTTCAATTTTGTCGATTTTTTATAAATATTATAAATTTAAAATTTTTTGTTTCTTCTAGTGATAGAGTATATGTATTTAAAGAATATTCGTGAAAAATTTCAAATAAATCGACTGATTAGAACTTGAAATGTTGTGGCTACCGCATCAAAGAAGGGAGTTTTGAGAAAAACGCGTTAAAGTTTTGCGTGAAGTTTCGGGCAGCGTAATAGATAGATAGATACTTCGCTCAACCGGTCTAGTTGCCACGTCACTAAAATGGCTTTTGAAAAATCCTTTTAGGGAAATATTTTTGATTACCGAGTTTTAATCAAAATAAAAATTTTTGTTTCTATTATATTTTACGCCTTTTTTTCTTCGCTTAAACCGAGTTTTAACCAAAATAAAAATTTTTGTATCTATTATTTTTTACGCCTTTTTTTCTTCGCTTAAACTTGTGATGAACAGTTGTTTTGCTTTTTAACCGACATACAAGGGGCTTTCCAAAGTAAACAAGACTTTTTGAATCTATCGCCCGTTCGTGCCGCCATCTATATATCGACTGGTGCGTTAGAATCTGCTATCTTTATCGATTGTCCAGTGAGAATTGCCTATCTCGAGTGGTTTCAAAGTTTTCAAAGTGGTCGTGAGGACATAAATGACGTTCAACCTGGGGGCCAATCAAAATCCGTGATCACCGAAAATTCCATCGAAACTGTGCGTGAATTCATCAAAAATCAGCCAAAATCATCATTGAAATTCATGGAAATGAAATTGAACATCTCCAAAATATATTATAAAAGGTGTGTGCATGGTTTGTTCCGCACAAAGTGACTGACGACCAAAAATTGCTCAGAATCCAACAGTTGAAGAACATCATTAAAGAAGTTTATTTGACCAAAAATCACATTTTAACCATTAACCACTCGTCGTATTCACCTGATATGGCACCGTGCGACTTCTGTGTGACAATACGTTATTTTGCTTTTATGCATATTTCTACGAATTCAAATAAAAATCGATTTGTATTTGGTATAAGTATATTTATAGGACAATACATTTATAAATAACTTTATTTCGTAACATTTAGTATAATGGAATTGACTTAGTTTAAACAATTAACACTAAATTATTTCATAAAAGACTAAAATGAAAATTAATGAAATATTTACTAACTTTACTAGGTACATTTGTATAGACTTATACATGTGTTCTCACATGTTCTGAATTAAAGATGAAATTCGATATAACATGCGTATAAGAGTGTTAAATGAAATTTAAATCGGTAAAGAACAGCGTAAGTAGGGTGAAATAAAACCAGCGCACAAGAAACTAACAATAAATTATATTACATTAATTTCTAGATATGTATCTTAAGTTTTCAAAAAGTTGGAAAGCAAATTGCAGCAAACAACTTAAGGTGAGAGTTAAGAAGCAAAGCATGGGAGGGTAAGGCCTGATGGAATACTTATATATATTTTTAGATGAAGGAAAAGAAATAGACGCCCAAATATCAAATCGAAGTGTTCAGGTAGATGAAATTGAGGCTTGCTTCAGTGATATGGTCATGCCATTTTACTTATTTGAACTTAAACGTCAATTTATCAGCTTACGTAGAGACCAACTGTGACCAACTAGGCTGCTGACGTATTAAATTTAACTGACTTTGTTAAGAGCTTTTTCATGAAAGAACTTTTATATGACTTGTTTTTTGATAATAATAATATATATAATATGACATATGGCAACTCTGTTTGCATGAAATAGCAGAATATATATACATATAACATTGCAACATTATCACCGCCCTAGTATTACGTAAATCCATATACACTGCGACACTACCTGTACTAAACAATTCAATGAAAAAGTACTACTACGACAAATATATGTATATATATATATGTAAATATATACATATCCTATATACTATATATACATATCTTACACAAAAAGTATTGTTTTAAGTAGATACATGCATTTACTTTGCATCACTGCTCATCCGCCTTGTTGCTACCCACTTTCATAAGCACACACATTTGTTTAATTTATTCGCCATAATTATTTACATTCCACTTTTGAAGACTACACATGTTGTAATGAACATATGTACATACATATATGTTTGTAAGTATATACATATATTAATCCTGTAACCGCTCCTGTGTCAGCAGCAGCAGAAATGAAGTGCAAGTGTACTCCATTAAAGCTGCCACAAAAGCGACGCAAAGAGAGAACTTCTGCTGCCACACACCTCTAAGCTAGATTTTGGAAACATGAGGTTTGAGTCGTTGTAAAAGTGTTATGCTGACCAATACTTGCGGCAAGCAATTAGCCAATAGGAAAATTACACAGAATGTAAAAATAATGTCAAAAAAGTATTGAGGTATTTTTATTGAATTTTTTCATGAAATTTATTTTTATGACTCATGTCCAGCTCTTGACCGATGCTACGGCTGTTACTATGCCGATCTCTTGCGACCAATTCAGCGATTTTACCGCAGTTTTCGACGACAGGCCTTCCGGAGCCTGACGCATCTTCGACCACCTCTACACCAGAATGAAAACGTTGAAACCACCGATGTGTGATGGAAATGGAAACTGTATCGGGTCCATAAACTGTACAAATTTAATTGGCGACTTGAGATGCATTTTTGCCTTTATCGTAGTAGTACTGTAAAATACGCCGTATTTTCTCTTTATTTTGCTCCATGTTTGCGACGCTATAACTCACGAACGACTTAAAAGAAACGACAATCAATCAAACAAGTGTTAGCGCGTGAAATGGGCTTTCCAAAAAGGTATAGCATGACCCGATGCGACGAATAAAACTAGGACTACGCGCTCTCAGCGCCAACTACTGAAAATACCGCAAGACTTTTTTGACAACCTGATATTACGGAATAAACTTAAGCTTACAATTTGTTTGTGGTTGACTGTTGGGACTCGCATTTTTGTTGTGCTTCAAGCTGTCATTATCTTTATGAAAGTATAGAACTTCAGAAATATGAACTGATGCATTTTATTAATAAAATTGTGTGCTCAATTTCCTCTAAAAAGATTGACCCTGAAATATAGGTAATAAATCCGTTTCAAATTAATATTTTGTGATTTTACTAATTTTTGTAAACAGTTCTACTTCAGAATTCAAACCCTACAGTTCAAAATAAATTTTACCCACTCAAATACGACTGTCAAAAATATTACCAGATTTTTAGTGCAATCTCATATATTTCTTAAGGCAAGGACTACTCAGTATGCGATTTATTTTTCAATTGAGTTAAGTAATTTTGGTGATAAAGCGGTAGAAGGTCCATAAAATAAATGAAAGGATCTGACTTTCAGGCACCAAAATGATAACTCAGCAAAGAAAAATCCCACCAACACATCATCACATGCTCAGGTTCCGAAAACAATTCATTTGAGTCGATGAGCAGCAAACCCTAATCCCCAGAGGTTCACATGTGCAGAAATGGTGTGTATTTTATTGGTTACTGAACCACCGAAATGGTCGCAGCTTTAAACTTTCCTACCGGGTAACGACATATAGATATGCATGTAACCGTAATATAAATTTGTGTCTGTCGCGTGCATTTCGTTCTCTCAACGCTCCAGCGCTTCGTTGATTGCTGCAATTTTTCCTCCGATATATGCATACATACATACTCGTATATATATATTTAAATCTACAAGTACAACACGCTTGTCATGACAATTGCGTTGGCATGAAAATTAAAAACCTTGGTAAACATGCCAAACAAATGCGCCGAATGCGAAAAGGTAATAAAAAGCAGAAAGGAAAAAGGTAAAAGGAAGTAAAAAGAGCTAAAGAATGAAAAAGGAACACAGGCGAGCTGTGTCTGCTCACATGATGCCACAATGACTGAAAGTAGTAATATGTGTGTATGTGATGTATCGTTATGCGTTGACTTTCGTTTGGCAGTAGTAATGCAAAAAAAAAATATATAAATATGTACAATATTTTGTGAGTATGAACTTGTTCGCTATTGTGTGCCACGGCCGAGGTTTGTGGCACAATCGCCGCACCAAAGCGCAGAAAACCTCCGACGTTGCGAGTACTAACTCGGCGCGCACTAGAACTCTGTGCTGTTTTGACATTACTTAGGTCTGTGCTTGGCCACTGACACGTGTTTGGCGCTTAACGTGGCTGTGGTGGCGGCAATGGTCCAACGCCTGGACATGGCAGCCGCTTGGCCAGGTGCCGGCAGAGTGGCACATCGCGCACGGCGTCGCCGATGAAGAGTGAGAGCAGGTACCACTGTTTCATGCCGGTTGATTGAACTCTGTAGTTTCTGCAAAAGGAAGAGAAGACGAATAAAGAAAGAGCATTAAAAAAATTAAATACACTAATATATAAATATATATATATATATGGAAAGAGAGAGAATGAGTGGGTGAAAAAGTATTACAAAAGCACGGCAATGAGCATAAAAGCAAATAAATGCTGAAACAAAAGGAAATTAAGCAGCACAACGCTTTTTAAGCGCACAAACGCAATAAAGTGGGCAAACATATTTATATAGAGCACAAAAAAAATACAATATTTAAACACAAAAGCTCTCTATTTAAATGGCAAACATTCACTCAGCAAACAAAATGGCATGGCAATGAAAATGTACAGCGTAGATTTTAAAAGCGCTAAAAAATGCTGGAGATTAAAAAATAATAACTCCTGAGTAGCAGCTAAAGCCATAATAATAAAACAGTAGCAAAAACACAAAAAACATCACGCGCATCATAGTTACATAAGTGACTGACGACAGCGAATGCAGTGCAGTTTTTGCTGTTAAAGGATGAAGGGTACAGAAAAATGCCAGTGACTCATAAAATGCCGCAGCACAATACAAAGGGAGCTTACATTGGCTAACGGCACAAATGTAAAGTTGTTGGATTGCCTTTGGCGTTTTAGCTACTTATGAGCATATTAAAAAATAAGACTTATTACTTGCATATAAATTATGAAACCAAGTAGCGCTTTGCGTATATGCGTCTACAACTAAGAAACTGGAATGCATGCTTTGTTTTTCGTTTATCTTGAAATTTAATTTTTGATAATTTTTATATCGTAATTGAATTTTATAGTAAGTAAGAGTTTGTGAGATCATTTAAGTTGCAATTATAACTTCTTTTTGTAATATTAGGTTGTCAAAGAAGTCTTGCGGTATTTTCGCTAGTTATCGCTGAGAGCGCGTAGTTCTAGTTTTATTCGTCGCATCGGGTCATGCTATACCTTTTTGGAAAGCTCATTTCACGCGCTAACACGTGTTTGATTGATTGTCATTTCCTTTAAGTCATTCGTGAATTATAACGTCGCAAACATGGAGCAAAATAAAGAGAAAATACGGCATATTTTACAGTACTACTACGATAAAGGCAAAAATGCATCTCAAGCCGCCAATAAAATTTGTGCAGTTTATAGACCCGATACAGTTTTCATTTCCACTGCACAACGATGGTTTCAACGTTCGGAAGGCTTTGAAGGGCCTACACAACGATAATACAAAAAAGACTGTCATATCCTTGATTTTTGACCGGCTTCAGCTCACCTTTACCGCGGTATTCAGTCGATTGATCATCATTCTAATAAGATCGCTGACTGTTAATCATCAATTCCAAAGCACCAGTTCCTTTATTTTATTGAATTGTTGATCATCAGTTGATGTTACTGGTCGACCTGGACGGTTTTCATGATCAACGCGTTCTCGACCCTCTGTGAATACTTTATACCCTCAAAAACACTTGCTTGCAATAAACAATTAATACCGAAGGCACTTGATGTACTTCAAAAAGACAAGCGTATACTAAGCATTAATGATTATTTCTATGTGACATTGGGCACAGATATCACTGAAAGTCATACCAACTTAGAAAACAAACATTTCGAAGAAAATAATTTCGCACGAAATTTAAATTAAAAGTCTTGTTATTTTTTGCTCACAGCAGAATATAATGAAGGATGATTTGTGTTAGGACAGGGGATTTCCAATCTGAAACTTTTTATGACATAAAGTGTAACTTAGGGTCCCAAAAATAAAATTAAAATATATGAGCCTAACCAACCACATTTTGTTCAAAACTGCATTTGGGGCATTGATGGGTAAAGCCTATTGCACATACGCATCCTTTAGGGACATTATCTAATAACTTTCTTACAATTTGATTGTTTATTTTTTAACTTTTTTAAAAACAACAAAACTAACAAAATACCAAAACTTTCGGTAAAATTGTAATCATAAATAAATAAAATAAACCAAACTAGCCTAAAGCACCTAAACGCACTCAGCACTACTACTCTCACTCAAACATACAGAAAAATTAAAATTAAATATATTATCGGTTTTGGATATAATTTATGGCCACAGTGTATGAAACTATTTGTGGCTTGTAAGATTTGTTTTGGTTTATTTTTAAATCTCTATTTTTATTTTACATTACAAAAATCAAAAAATAAAAAATAAAAAAAAAAAAAATAACCGAAATCTTGCAATGTCAGTTTTGTTTTGAAACATATGGATTCATCGAAGTATAGACAAAGGCTTTCTAGCTAAAAATATCTTTTTAAGGATCAGCAGTAATGTGCCATAATAGCATGGTCCATGATCCAATGAGACTTGACATACTTCTTCCATCGCTTTCGAATCCTAGTAGAACAGCTCTCTCAATTTCTAATCAAAATTGCCCAAATTAACAGAAAATATATTCAAATGATTGTATATATATAATCTAAATAATAGCAACACAAATTATTACCAAGCTGCACTTCGCGGAACAGTCATAACTTTGATAGAACTTGTATTTTTCATAAATTGCCATATTTGAGGACCAACAAAATATTCACCTCTAAACTTTGGCAATTTCGGAAATGTCACTAAAACAATATCCTACCACGTCAAGCGCTTTGAATTAATTTAATGCTTATTTACTTGATCACGTATTAAATCACTGAGTTCTTTTTGAGATAGTAACTACTTATTCACATCCATTAGCAGACTATACAGATCACTAGACACGTTAACACATCAAAACTTGCTAAGAGGACAAGGAAAATGTGTTTTTGTGGAGTTTATATTATAGTTCAATAAAAAAATTTTGGAGTTCCCAATTCTTAAAGCATTCATGGCTGTACCTTTTGACTTCAGATATATATACAGCATATATTTTTTTGAAAAATTATATCCGTTAGATCTATTCGTTGACATAAATATTAAAGACAAAATAATAGAAAAAGTAAATTTCAGTATTAACCTTCCTATACTCGCGTGTTGGTCTGTGAGACCGACGAAACACATTTCGTAATTATTTTTATGCAGATAAATCCTAAGAAGTTGAGTTCCTTGCTAGATGCCGATTTGTGGTTAACTTCGTTTTAGTGCACGCCGCGCGTTCGGGCGAACACACGTGTTTTAGCATTCATCACCAATCGGTCCACGAGACCGACGCGAGTATAGGTGTAACTTTTCGTGTAAGTATTAATATAACTTATTTCGTACACTTGTATTATTATTTATGGACTTTGATTACTTTATAAAGTATGTATAGTAAATTATATGTATGTATGTTGCTCTATATTATATTTTGACCAATTTTATCATTCTTTTTTATGTTCTAATTCATATCAAAATGGACGATAATCAAATCAGATTGTTTCTGGAAGAATTAAGTTCTAGCTCAAGCTATGAAAACGAAAATGACAGTGAGGTGGAAGATAACGTGGAGGTACGAAGAGACATATGATATCAAGCAAGACGATGACAATGACGAGATATCTGAGGAAGAACATAATGAACAATCCCATGATTTTTACTTAGGAAAAGATGGACAGACAAGGTGGAATAAATCTCCTGCCTCAAACCCAACTAGGCGACGTGCTAGAAACATAGTTACTCAACTTCCAGGCGCTAGAGGAGAAGCTAGAAATTTGAAGGAACCAGGTGGAGCATGCTGTAACCATATGCCCTGATTGCTATGGCGAGGCTCAAAACTAAGTCAAACATAGATAAATATGTTCATTGATATGTTTGTTATTATTAATAAGAAGTTTAATTTCTTTTTAAAAGAAGTTCAGATTTTATTTTATTTTTTTAGTATTTAAGAAAATAATCTCAAATTTTAAGACTGATTTGTGATAAACTATAAGTCGGTAAAATAATTAATAAAATAACTTTTAGTTATATTGTTTTGTTTCATTACATCCTAAGCTTTAAAATAATAGTAATAGTTTATGTGTTTCTTGTTAAAAAAATATGTTGTAGGGGTACAAACTATTTGTCTGTGACACCGTGTGCGAGTATAGGTGTTACAAAAATTTTCGCGAGTGTAGGAAGGTTAAGAAGGAAATTTCATACAATACCAGTGTATGTTTGGCGCTCGTGTATCTCTCTGCAAAGAAGCCGATAATTTTATAAAGTCTACTGCTTTTGCAGTAAACGAAATTTAGAAATTCGATGACAAATAAAATAGTTCGAATTTGAACTCATGACAGAAATACTCTAAAAAAATTAATTTGGACGAATACTCAGAAAAAGTAATATTTTTCGTACAATGTAATTGCCTTGTGAGCATTTCAATGCTATGACACGTAAATGTAGGCATCAATTTCAAAAATATATATTTGGAAATAATTGTCCTTCAATGAACAAATATGTATGTATATTTAATTGGAATAGTGTATATTTTGGATAAAAGGAGGACATTAATTTGCCAAGCTATTACCAAAGACCCACAAATATGTGTGTTCAAAAAACCAATTCAAGATACAGATATATGAGCGATCATGGCGAAAAGTAACACTTTACTTATTCTAATGAGGTTCTATAGCACATTTGCTAATAGTGAAAAACACAAAAATGTGTTTAGCAAATATAAGAATGAATGACCTTGACGACTTATTATTGATACTTGCTTAAAAGCGAATGGTTATACTCACTAGTTTAGAAAGAGAGTGATGTTGAGAATGTTTTTAGTAATGTTTCAACTATATGACAATGCAAAAGTTCACTTAAATATACCTAATATACTACTAATATTGTTACTAGTGTTCAGAAAATTAAAAAGAATATTATTAAATGAGTAACAAATGCTGTGAATATTTTTCTTAAATTTCTGTTAATTTTTCGTGCCCCAAAGCCGATGCACTGTCAGTACTGCTGATTCACTGCACAAAAAGGTCAAACAGGTTATATTAGCACACAAATTATTTCGCCACAAAATGACCACAAAGTGGACTAACGAAAATGCCAGTTACAAAAAATTCTTAAAACATACAAAAGAATACTCAGCAAAGCAATGTATAATGTAATGGCGCAAACTCGCCACAAAAGTGTGCACAACTGTCGTAAATTTGCGCAAAGTAGCAACTGTGCACACACACACAAGCAAACACATATGCAGCCAGCAACGCATATCTATTTTTAATTTCATACAATGAGCGTGGCAGCGCGGCAGCCTGGCGTGAGACTGGCGCTTTAATTTCGCTGGTCAAATGGAATTTATTTGCGTAAACTTTTACAATCACAAATTTGCTACAAAGAAATTATGCAAAAGACGAAGTGATGTGCTTGGGCACATATTCCTTTATGTGTATGTGTAGTGAACAGTTGCAATGCAAGACAAATTGCAAAAGTTGTAGAGAAGTTCAAGCAAATGCCATTTGTACGCGGCCAAGTGCTTGACAAATTTATGCGCAGCGACAGGAAGTGTTTAACAACCCTGTTTTGGTGTAGTTTTGCAGAAAAAAAAAATATTTTAATACAAAATAATTTTATTTTATACGCTTTTTTTTTTCATTTGCTATTCATTTTTTTTGTCAAATTAATTCGTCCATTTTGCACTCACCCTTACCTCCCTGTGCGCGTGACTAAGAGAAATGCACTGTCGTTCCGTTATTGTTTGGTTATTTTATTATGTCATTCGTTTGTTTATCGACTGGGAAAATCTCACTGGAAAACTTACTAATTTATTCCGTACACAAAAACACAAGCGCATACAACAATACTAACACATACACACCCTCAATAATCAAAGTGCTCACGCACTACACCACCGCCGAACGTGTTGACAAAGGTCAGTGGCGTTTGCTATTATTGTCCACAATGCTAGCATACTTTTAGGGTAACAAAGCAACAATACGCAATGGTGTTTACTAGAAGTAGCTCATTGCAGCGGCGACATGGCGTATGAGTGACGCACATTTGGTAAACATTGCGTCTGCGAAATTTTACGAGCGCTGGCGTCATTAGTGCAACAGACAGCGTTTGCGAAAAAAAAAAATTTAAAAAAAAAGGAAAAAGAATTTTGAGACTCAAAGTAAGAAAAATAAAACCAGAATAAAAAAAAATAATACTAATAATAAAAACAAGCACCTACAACGCAAGTTTTCCGCACTTAATTTCTACGTTGAATTTATTTTTCTGTTTTTTTTTTTCTATTTTCTCCTTTTTTTCTTTCTCATTGCGCTGCAACAACTTGCAACATTATGAAAAGTCATTTAGCTTTTCTGCGCAGATTTTATTTGCGAATTTTCAATGACTTCAACTTGCCATTTTTAGCATTATTTGCTCTTTCACTTGCAAATGAATTGAATGTGTTGTAATGAATAACAGTAAAAGTTGATTTTAGCAGTGCAAAGTTCTTTTACAAAAGTCAATTACCGGAAAGTTGAGATTACGCGTTGTGTTAGAGTTGCCAAGTTTGAGGGGAAAAGCAAAATGAACTGAAGTTAGATTAGAATTTAAGAAAAATTATTATTTTCGTGGCGGTTTTATACCTCTTAGGCAAGCTAAAAGTCTAACTTTACAGCTGATGAAGGATGTTGCTATTAATTTTGCAATATCTCAAGCTTTTTAAGTAAGTAAATTATCCAAATAGAAGTTTTTGAAAGATTGGATTCCGAAAAACAGAAAAAAGATATTCACTGAGCTACCTTGAAATACAATTTATATAACGTATAGTGGTATATATTGCGCTAAGAAATCTTTTCACTTGCCGGGCTTATATCGAAAGCATTATTACTGAACCCTAGTAGAAAAGACTGCAGGTTAAAGTCAAGTTCTTTCAAAAATTTCATGGGCATATTAAAGACCTCCCGCGTGTGGAATTCAGATCTGTTAGTATAAAAAACTTTGTGCTCGGCCAAAATATAAGCATAAAGGGTCACTTTTAAATATACGTGGGGCGCAGAAATATTGGTATCAGGTAGCTCTGTCCAAAATTTTATATATTATTTTTTCCTGCCACAACGGCAACCCTAAATGATTTATATTGAACTCCTCTAATTCCCTCGATTCAAGTATTATGCTGCTGCGGCAGCCACTTCAATTTGGTGCATGAGAATTCCGCCCATTTAGAGTTCAATCAAGTTTGCGCAAATTGAAATAACCGATTTCGGTTAGTGACGCAATGACATGCACTTTGCCAATTTATAACATTTTTCATTTGCGTCTTATTCTTATTCCTGCAATGAGCGTGTATTTTTTTCTGTTCCTGCTCTCGCAGCTAGACTAGACCGTCTCTGTTATTGTTGCTGTTGACGTAGTCAGCATTGCTGGAAAAGGTAACAAAAACGATTACGTTTTGCGAACAAGACATTAAATTATGCACAGATGAGTTAGCAATTCGCAAATAAAAACTTGATTTCGTGTCTGATTGGATTCGAAGACATGCATTCGCCTCAGATGGCGCTGCACCAACAGAGTCATTTAGACAAAATGACAAGTGCAGAAAACTTAATTTGGCAAAGCAAGGAGCTAGTATGGAAAAGTGGCTAAAAGCTGGGAAAACATGTATATATAAAAAAAAAATAAACAAAAATAGTTGGAAAGAATTTTTGAAGAGCGGGGTAGTGGTAAGTTACCTGTAAGTTACCAAAGCGAAGCACTTAATTAATGCAATAACAATTACATAAGTATGTAGGAAAGATTTAAGGAAAGAGTGTAAAAGAAAATAATTAAGATACAATTTTCGGAGAGAAATTCCTTAAAGAATTATTCGGGACAAAAAAAATATATTCATACCATTAATAGTATTTAATATTTTTTTTTTTTTTGTTTGTACACGAGATGAAAAATATAGACTATTTTGAAGACAAAAATGTTAATGTAAACGAATGAATGCATTTTTTTTTTTTTGCAAAAATTCCCGTTATTTCTTGAATACATCTAAACAACAAACGACTCTCCAGCTCTCAAAATTTTATTTTACAAATATTTTCTATATATGAAGTGACAATACAACAAACAAATCAGTGAAATTACAACAAATATATAATTAAATATAATGTAATATATTTTTGTTGATGATTGAAGTGATTGAGAAAAAAATTCGTTCCTAGGTGTGTTGGGTCTACTTAATCAGAAGGTAGCAGTTCACAAATTAGTCAGAGATACTTTCTGATGTCAGACACAAAACCATTAGGTAGAGAACAGTTAAATACCAGAACTTTAAAAATCTTTTTAGTCTGTGCCGGGCTCTAAAACCAATAGTAAGGACATATGCGGATCGACAAAAGTCTCTTCTAACTCAATTTTAGAACTTATATTAAAAAAAAAAGACCTCAGAGGCTCACGAACATTAAGTTTTAGACTTTCCTTGTTCAATTTGGTTTCGACTTTTCAAGAAAATAGCATTAATTCTCGATTAAATTCAATACAAGGTATACATATAATATGCCTTTAAAGGATAAATAATCAATATTGTAGTTCGAAGTCAGCAGAATTAGTACCAAAGTGTCTATAAAAAAACATTTCAGACTCGGGCTGCGATGAGAAGCCAGTTTTATTAGAGAAACTTATGGATTTTGTTCCACTTGTATTTTCATCATAAATGCTTGAAAATCTTAAAAAACTTCTGGTCCTAAAATGTGTCCGAACCGAAGCATTGCTGCACAGGTTAAAATAGCCTAAACATTACTATCCTAAATACCTAATTTTAAAGCTTCAACGTAGAGAAAATAATGCTTCTGGAATGGTTTCACTAATAAATCTTACAAAAACCTTCAATGAACTCACCAAAGCCACTCATTCACATACTTGCTCAATATTCACACAAACAGTTACTTGGCACATACCTCAAAATCTCATTCCATGCTGGATGCTGTTGCGTACCGAAACGACCTGGCCGTGAAGCATGCAGCCGGCAAGGTTCCTCCAATATGCAAGCACGTGGTCCAAACTCACGTAAAATCTCTTTTTGTGCCAATTCAGCATCGTAAGCGGCCGATGTAGTGGCATCACGTTTGGTGCGCGCACGATAGGTATCTGGAGAAAAGAAAGAGATGAAAATAAATAAAGCAAATAAAATTGTTAAATGTTGAAGAGCAAGAGATTGAAGTACGAAATGTGAATAGGAAAGATATAGTTGTAGTAATGGTTGCAGTTTGTAGCCTTGGTTAGTGATAATGCTTTTTCTTGACGGAAATTCCTCAACTAATATTTTTATAAATACCTGTTAATGTATAATATTTGTTGATTTCGCAAGTATTACTAAATTGTTCATCATTAGTGATGTCTTAAGATACGTTTTAAAATTTTATTAAGAAATTCTGATCAATTATTAATTATTTGATCATGAATATGAGTGTATATAATTTTTTTAACCAAATCCTTATTTTTTGTAAACAGCTCAGGTTATATTGAGTTTAACACTGAGTGTTTTAAGCCCGGAACGAATCATCAAAATGAAGTCGTTATAGCAAAATTTTCTTATTTGACAACATATCTTCTAGAAATTTGGCATAGTTTAATAATGAAGACAACAGTACAATCTCCGAATACACCATATTGTGCAGATTGGATCACTATAGTGTATAGACGCAATACAAATTGACCGATCAATACCAAAAACAAACATTTTTTACCCTTTTATGATATAAGATTATGGCTTCTATGCAACAAAAGTTAATGTTTTTCATATTTTACATACATAAATATCTAAAAATACAACAAGTCATGTATACACACAAGTATTTGGATTTAACTATTAGAATGGCTGACCAAACTAAGAAGAAATCTTCAAACCAAATCTCAAAAATAGTAATCAGCAACCAAGAAAAAAGACTTTAAAATACCAAGTTTTATATTCAACTAGTTGACTGCCGCTAAATAGTGTCAACCAACACGCTTACGCGCAATGCGCTCTAAACTCGTAAAATCAGAGCAAACTTCGTCAGCGTTAGCGCGCATACGAAATCAGTTCGCACTTCACCTGTAAAATGTTTAATCAAATTACATAATTGCGGCTGACTTTAGTATTTGGCCAGTCATGCACTGCAGCGCACTTGCCTTGACCCCATTCGCAACTAAGCATTTTACTCAACAACTCAGTCAATGTACGCATGCGCAATAACGCCTACTACAACAACAGCAACGACAGCTGATCATAAGTGAGCAATTATACAGTATGTAACTATTGTAATTGCACAAAACGCCGTCGACATGTCTCCATTTTGGTGACATTATATTGTTTTTTTTTTTTTTTTTTTTTTTTTTTTTTTTTTTTTTTTTTTTTTTTTTTTTTTTTTTTTTTTTTTTTT